TTTTTTTTTCAGTGCCTCAAAGCTATGCCATTGGAGGTCATTTACAAAGAATTATTCTTGTCTGTTGCAAGTGTGTATTTGTGGCTATCGGATATGTGTAGACGTGCCTGGCAGTACTGTGAAGAGCAGCAGGCAAGGCAAAAGGCAGGATAATGTATGCACAGCTGCCAGTGAGCAGATGTCAAGCTTTCAGTGGAAAAGCACTGACAAAGAAGAAAAAGCAGAAAAGAAGGGGCAGCATTTGGAGACATTATCTCCCTAGCAACATAGTCCTCACAAATTTAAGGCTTGAACTGGCCATTCTCAGTCTCCTAAGGGATATGAAAAGTGTGGAACTTATTATCTTTCCTTTCTGAAGTAGTGGGAGACTTGGGAAAGTGTTGAAAAATGGAGAATACTGAAAACTGTCAGTTCAACACTTAACAAGACTACACATATTGGACAAACAAAGCATGCTTACAAAGACAACCAAATTTTTAGGGGCAAAAAAACCAAACCAAAACTAAAAAGAACAATGGCCTTAAGTGCTTTTTGAGGCTGGGGACCAAGATGTATTTTCCTGCAAAAGACCCTGTGATATTGAGTGGGGGACTGAGGAGGAGAGCAAGCCACACTGAGCTACATTGTCTGTTGGGAAGATCATAGGTTGATCAGCAAAACACCCACCCAACATTGTTTATTTGTAGGGTTGCTTGGTATGATGTGTGGATGCATCCAGAGAAAGAAGAAGGGGAACAGGAAAGAGTGAAGAAGGGATGGAACGTCAATTTACTGAATGTGAAAAAGTAATAGGCTTGCCTTCTGTGAAATGCAGCCTGCATTGCACCAAAAGAATGTGGTGTTTTGGGGCAAAGACCCCTACTCTCAGTTTCTTCCATCCTTGCCAGTTTTCTTTCAGTAAAATGTATGTTTTGTTGCACTAGCAAATTTTGTGACTAGCCATGCCAGCCATTTTGTGGTGGTGGGCATGAGACTTTCTCAACGTTCCAAGGCACCCACTGGCCCAAAAAGGTTCGTGCCACTAAACCACCCTCACTAAAAAGATCTAGAGCACTGAGGGAAGTGCGGCAAAACCACTAGTTCCCAACAGGAAGATTCTTTTCACCTCATTCTCTCCTGCTCTCGCCTCTGCCTCTCCTTCTCCTTTTCTGCTAGTTCTGCCTGAGCTTTCAAGGCCTTCTCACGCTCCTCCTTTTCCCGGGCTGCTCTCTTGAAGTGCTCAAAGCTGTCACTGCTGGATTTCACTGTTGAGGATGGTGCGGCGGGGTGCTTCTGCACCAAGCTTGCCCAGGAGCCCATATTCTTTAGTTTCAGATCCTGTGGAGACAGGAAAAAATGCAGTGGTCAACACTGTACCTGTAGCAGGACTAGTTGAAGGGCACACTGATGAAAGGCATTAAAGCAAGTTTGATGCCAAAGAGATGACAAAACTACCCATGTCTAGCTCGGGCTAGAAACAATTACTTCGTCACAATTAACAGAATGGCTATTGTTTTCATTCAGAACCTGTTAAATCTTCCCTTATAATTCTAGAAGGGTGGAAAAATGTCCAATTCTTTATTTTTCTATGGGAAAACATCTGTTCCAGAAGTGCTTCAGTAAAAAAGAATGGATGTCAACTGCATGTCAAATTTATTAGGCAAACCTGGCAGTTTAAAGTTGCAATTAATGTTTTTCAGGTGATTACACTTAGTATAGGTGAGAAAATCCATGTCACTGAAATATATGTCTATGTCACAGGGTGAAATGAAGCTAATAAATAGCAACTTAAGCTTGCCCAGCAACCTTAGTGGAGCAGAGCTGATCTCTGCTGAAACACATGAGCAACTGTCAGTGCATCATGTACATTGTTTTGGGATGCTAAAATTAATCAGTGTGCAATCTGTTCCAATCTTAGTTTTTACTTAAATTTAAAGTAAGGAAAGTACATGCCATCATCTTTACATTTTTACAAATATATTTTTAACATGCTATAATATTTAATTATATTATGCATGCTCTAGATCCCCCCGCCTTCCTGGGATATTTCAGGTTAATTATTTGTATTGGACTGGGACAAAAATTTAACACGGGGCACATTATTTAAAAGCTTTGTTTAATATATACAAGTAAAATAAAGATGCTCAACTTGCTTGCTCTAGGGCAGCAGGGGACAACTGGTGGCCCTTCATAAGCTTTGGCCTAGAGCTTCATCAGTATTAGCCAGCTTAGCACTAGTGAGGGAAGGTGGAAATTTTAAATGAACACTTCTGGAAGGCCACAAGTTGCCCGTCTTGCCTGAGAGCATCAGAACATTTTTGATACAAACAGAATCTCCACTTAAGCACAGGAATTTTTTCCAGGACAGATTGAAAAATTTCTAATTCAGAAATTTCTGGAAACCCCACATTATCCAAAAGCAGTTCTGACCTACCTTATGGATGCTGGGGTTGGGGAGGAAAGAGCTTGTGCTTAATAAAACAGAGCACTCTTATATATTAATTTGATAACTGAGGCAGGACTCAATACTCTCACAGCATTGAAAGCATCTTGGAATCTCATTCAGTGTGCTTCCCCTCTGTTCCCTGCTACATTTGTACTACATGGCTCAATTATACACATTTAAATAGAAGGAAATGCATACTTGTGTTGTTCTTTCAAGGAATTCAAAATAAAAATGTATCCAGGAGCAGCAATGGGCAAGTTTCCAGCACTCACATTTCCAGGCCCTCCAGCACAACTCTGACATGTGTATGTATACATGACAGGCAAAGAATGTGCATGTCAGGTTCCAAAGAAGCTAGTACATACACGAAGGCAGATGAAAAACGCACAGGCAATGAAAACCATGTAAGAAAGAAGTCGAGCTGCAGAGCAGAGAAACTTGGAGATAGGAAAAGCTCCCTCTTTGTAAAAAGCCACTTATCTGTATTCCACACCCATCGTATTGTCAGCCAAGACCATAATTGCCAGCAAATGAATGAAAGAGATTAAATAATGGGTATTACCCAGGATTCAAGTAAGCAGAACTGATAACCCAAGGGACAACACTATTTCCATTTACGCACTTCAGTTAATAGAAATGTACTTGTTAATATACATAGGGTGGATTTAAATGATCAGGGAGAGCAAATAAGCCAAAGTGGCTTACTTTCCACCTTGTGTGTGCCGAGTTACCTAAATCCATAATTCCCCTTGCTGGGTGCAGGTTATTGTTATGACTGAACTTGGTGAGGGTGAGTGGTGGTGGGGCTTACAAACCGCTCTGCAATTGTAGAACAAGCCATGGGTTTGGAGTGGTCTGTGAATTCCCACCCATATCCTCACAATCACCCTTGCCAGATTTGGACATTATGACAACTCACACCTGGCAAGGTAATTGCAACCAGTATAAGTGGGGCAGGGAAACAAGCCATTACTTTCCCTCTCCAATTGTACAAACCTGGGCATAGATCTTTTTTTCTTCAGGTCTAGAAGATCAGGTAGTGATCATTGGATTTCAGAAACCATGCTAGAAATTAATATTTTAGCATGAATATTAAAGTGGCGGATACATCAAAGTGATGGATGGGGCATAAAAGTTATAAATAAATAAATAGGAATGTCTCAAGAAAGATTAATGTTGAAATGGGCATCTAAGGAAGCATGTGAAATAGTTAGGAAAGTAAACAAAGTATGCCTAATTTTGTTTCCCATTCTCATGGGGGGGTGGGCATGTGTGTGGGACAGGGAACATCTTGGCAGGAGTGAGAACAGTTCAGGCCAGATCACTGAAACAAGCTTTTCCAAGTTCAGTCATCAGAGCCTGTTACTTTTTCAGGGCCATTCAGTTATAATAAACTGTTACCTTTCTAGGGGCAACTGGTGCTTTTGGTTCCTGCTTCTGCCTCTCTTTGTCCTGGACTCCTGGAGGTGCATTTGGCTCCGGGGGTCTTATAACAGGCCGTCCACTGTCCACTGGCTTAATCTCTGTTCCTGAAACAATGACAATCACTGTAAGACTCTGTTCAGACAGGTTAACTCTATGGAAAAGCCACTGTGGATGAAAGTTGGAAATTTGGCATTTCCCTCTCCTTAGACAAATCTACCAAAACAAACAAAAAAAACCCATGAACACACTCAGTTGTCACTCACGTTGTTGGATATGTGCAGGTGGCTTGATATTCTCTGGATGTTTGGGGGGATCTTGCCGCAAAGCTGGGCTGAAAGTCTCATTTCGAATGACTGGGGACTGCATCTTGTCCTCTTTCACCATAGGCTGTGACTGAACTACAGATGCTGCTCTCAGTTCCTATCAAGGCAGGACAACAAACACAACTCAGCCCTCATGTCCTCATATAACTTTCCCTTTGTAAGCCCATTCCATCTCCACATGGTCCATTCCCACTACAAGGGTCTTGCGAAGACCTGCATTCTCAAGAGCAAAGAATGCTGGGTAACATTTTGAAGCTCCATGTGCAAACTCTGGACTCTAAAACACCCTTTACATCACAATGTACCTTTACCTGCTTTTTTGGCTGGACATTTGGTTGTGGTGGAGATTGATGTGGCAGCCCCTGGAACTGTGGCATCTGTGGGGAATGCATCATGAGAGGGGAAGGCGCTTCTCTCAAGTGACCTGGAACAATTCCGCACCAGTCAGTCAGCTTCTCATGACAGTTTTTTCAGAGTCATTAATCAAAGACTTGGGGAGAATGATCTGCAGTTGATCCAGAACAAGATACAGTTGGGGATGTGGAGAGGCCTTTATTTCAGGAACAGGGGATGAGGGAGGCTTTAAACATGCACCAGTCAATGAATGAATCTTGCTGCATGCCCTGGTTTGGGATAAGGCCAATGATGCAGTGCACAAACTACAGGTCAGGATGAACAACAACATTTTGAATGAAGCAATGATCTGTTCTTGTCTGTGCAACTAACTGGCCTAGTTGTAGCCTATGTGCTAGATCGGTGATACAAAAATTCAGGAAATTTACAAACCACAATTTTTCTCAAAAGCCCTTTCTTCTTAAATATAGACTTATTTTACTCCCTTAACATAAATGCATTATTTATAATTCAGTAAGCATATAAATTATACTACTTTGCATATTTGTGAAATTTACAGAACAATCTTATGTAGGCTTCTCAGGCCTTCTAGGTGGAATCTAGATCTAATCCATTCCTTCTGTTGACATTAGAGACAGATTCTTTCCTAAATCAGCAGATTTATCTGAATTTGTACATTGGAAAACTATCTTGGGCACCACCCTCAATCATTATGGATGAACACAGCATATCACAAAACACTGGCTGCACCCGCCACTTCTGTCTCTTTAGATACGTGTGGGTACTCTCTGTCTCCTTTCTCTGGTCTCCTCCCCTCCTCTGGACCTCCTTTTTATGGCTTCTGCATTTTTTGCCTCTCTTTCGGACCTCGTTTGTACAACAATGGTCAAATCAACATGTTCATCACCCATGGTGGGTTCTCATGATGTCTGAACCAGCCATGGTTTCCACAGGGTGGTTTAATTTTCACAGATAAAGCACCTTGAGGTTGTTTAAGGAGGCTTGTGGTAACACCCAAATCCAGCAAGGTGACTTCATTGCGGATGGCTGGGAATGACTAAGAAGGCTGCCTGGCAACTTGCTGATGCTGCCACCATAGTCCCTCATCCATTTTCTGTGCCTTCCACCCCACTTTCCTAAACATCAAGGAGGACACTGGAAAGCGTATTGAACGTACTCACAAAAATGGCCTTGCACAAGAATACACACTGAAAAATCCTCAGCTATGCAATGTGTTAATCCCTCCCAGCCTGCCTTACTACTCTGCCCTGAAATTTCATAATGGACCAATCCCCCTCACTCTGTGACATTTGCTGACTTTGCAACCTTGCTGCTCTGTCTTGATATTTGCACATCTTTACCCTGAATTTGCTTATTTTTACTGATATCTGTTCTCCCTGAAATCTCTGTATCTTCATCTCTCTGTACCCCATATGCATATCTGATAGCCAACAACAGAGATCAGTGGAGGGAAGCAACAAGCACAAAGGTCAGTGGAAAAAGCCAAAAGCAGCTGATGGCTGCAAGAAAAGGAGCTTTTGGGGCAAATATATCTGGTAGCAGGTAAAGCAACTTAAAAAAACAGAGTTCACTTCCAAGACAGGCTCAAAGTGGAGGATGAAACAAGAGAAGTATGTCAGTATGCTGGGCAAAGGTGTTGACAAAGCTATCAAGGAAATGAGGCATCAAGGAAACAATTCTGGTGCAAAGGCACTTGAGATACATACCAGGAACTGGTAGAAATGAACTAAGTCAGCCCTGGAAAGATGCAGAGGGCCTGTTTGTCATGTTAGTGACCAACCAACCCATTGTGGCTTATTCTCAATGGCTGAGCATGAGATACAAACTTGCCCAAAGACCTGTTGTGTTCGCACAACTTGCTATGTAAGTCACCCTGCGAACAATGCGTGCGCAGAGATCAGTTTCTCCCAACAAGTCCAAAATGATCTCCTTGTGAGCAAGCCGGTGCCGCGGGGCCGGCTTGCTCACAAGGAGATTGTTTTGGACTCGCTTGGGGAAAAGGATCTCCCAGCAAGGTGCTGGCTTGCTCGCAAGGAGACCCTTTTCTCCGAGCGAGTCCAAAACAATCTCCTTACGAGCAAGCCGGCACCTGGGTGCGCACGCGTAGTGAGCTACGGCAGGCCAGATCAATGGGCACGGCAGGCCGGATCCAGCCCGCGGGCCATAGTTTGAGGACCCATGCTCTAGCTGGTACCCCAACTGTTGGTCACAGTAGAATGCATCTTGTCTCCCCCTCACTTCTCTGGTGGCCACCCTGTTTCATTTGCTGCTGGGTATAGGTTTTTTTTTGGGGGGGGGCAGCCTTAAAAATGCAATTAGGGTTTTTCTTTCTTTTTCCAACCCCTGACAATTATGCAGTTGTGTTCACAATTTTCCATTCTTACTACTGTTGCTCTTTTACAAGTCTGTTCCTACAGCTTTTTAGTATATATAGTCTTGCCTAGCCAATGGCCTTGTCTGTTTCAGCTATCAAAAGAAGCAGTGAAGCCAAGGAAGTAAGCAGGCTCCGTGAAAGAAATTAGGAGGGTGGGTACTCGGAGGAGGGCTTTCTCTGCGGTGGCGCCTAAGTTATGGAATGCGCTCCCCAGAGAGGTCCGCCTGGCGCCGTCGTTATTTGTTTTTCGGCGCCAGGCGAAGACCTTTTTATTTAAGCAGCATTTTAACTGTTAGTATTATTTGATCTCATCTGGCCAGGGCAGCTTATTTTATATTGTATTTTTTGGATTTTTAATGTTTATATTTATTGTAATTTATATTATAATTACTTTTATTTATTGTTGTAAGCCGCCCCGAGGCTTCGGCGAATGGGGCGGCATAAAAATGTTTTAATAAATAAAACAAATAAAAAAGTAAGCACCATTGAGGGCAGTGAGATTTATTTCTGAGTAGCCATGCATACTGGGGCATTTTCAGCTAGCTGTTCCTTGAAGCTACTGAAGGTCCTCCTCCTCCATGCAAGTTCAGCACACACTGATATATACCACAGAAAAAGCACAGCATGTGAGATAACTGGCCTGAAGAGATCTAAGACCTAATGGCAGAAATAGCATGGATGGCACTGAATCCCGCATTATAATGCTACTAAAAATCCTTCATGCAGTTCCCCCGAAGACAGAGGTATGGTGCTTAGGGAAAGTGTCTGATCTGGATCTAGGTGTACATCTAGTCTTGGATGAGGTTGCCCTTCTCCTGAAAGTCTTAGTGTGTAGTCTGGGAATGCTGCTAGACTCAACAATTGCGGGCAAAGCTCACGTGGCAATAGTAGTCCAGGGTATAATGCAAACTGCGACCCTATCCGGAGAAGAAGGGACTTGCCCCCATTATCGATGCTGTGGTGGCACCCGGGCTGAACTACTGTAATGCAGATGCCCTCTCTATGGGGCTGGCTTTAAAAATGGGTTGGAAACTATGGCTGATGCAGGATATAGCTGCCCAGATATTGATGGGCACTGGATGCTTTTCTCATGTGAGACCAATATTGTCCCTGTTCTGTTGGCTGCCAGCACATTTCCAAGCATTTAAATGCTGGTGTCAACCTTTCAGCCCTTTAACAGTTTGGGATCAAGTTACCTGAAGGATCTGGACTAGTCTGCCCACACATTCTGCTCACTCATTAGCACAGGCTCTTTTTATTTGCTGTCTGCCAAGGGCAGAGAAGCTGGCCAATTCAAGGCCTATTGTGTGATGATCCTGCACCTTTGGGAGCCATTTCCATAGGATGTCCGTCAGGCCCATTCTTGGTAGGTCTTATGGGAAGCTCTGAAAATCCATTTGTATTTCCTGGCTTATCCATCATTCTTAGGATGCTGGTTTTAAGGATAACACTTGTTTTAAATAGCATTTAATTGAATATACATTTGTTGAATTCTTACTGTATTTGTCTTGCATGTTTTTTAAAACCCCACTTTGAAGGGTTTGCAAACTTGAAGCTAAATAAATATAATTTAAAATGCATACATAGATATATCTGAGTGAAATATATTAGAGAAATGCTATTGTTAGACTACAGAGGCTTGGTATGGTTAAAGTTTTTGCTAGGGTCACTGTTTTGGGTTTGGAACAAAATAAGTTCTATCAATTTCAGTGAAAGTTTCTTGCTGAAATCAGGAACTACCAGAAGGTATTCAGTTTAAGAGAGCAAACTTAACTGAAGATGTAGATGACTACTTAATTAATCAATTAATGGTTGGTGGTTAATTTATTTGTTGAATCTTTAAAGAAGATGGTCATTGCACTTTTAGTAGTTGAGTCATCCTCTCTCCCTCTCTCTCTCTGCGTGTATGCATGCATTATTACTAATTGACTCCTGCCATGGTGCTCCACTAACAGGGTATTCAGTTAGATGTTTAACTTTTTTCCAAACATATCACCCTGCTCACCCCTAATCTTGATGCATGATTCTCTTCTGCCAAAATGTGGAGTAGTGGAATTTTTCTAATGGCTCTATGCCATGGTGGTGTGCAGATGGAATGGGTTTAATTTACCCAAATGTGTTATGTGGATGGAAATAGAAGGAGATGATGTTTATGGATCTTCATTATAATCACTAAATGGTGTTATCCAGGTGCATCCAGATCTCACAAAAGGTGGTATCCTTGTGTGCTAAAGGTTTAATTATGTGTGATGCAATAAAGTGTATCAGAAAGACACCAACCACAAATGTGCACGGATGGATAGAACTATTGGGGGGAAAAGAATTCTCCCTGATATTTTGCAAGAAAGCAGGCTGAAGCCAAACCAGGGGGAGCTCACACATCACAAGAAAAATGATAAGGAGTCAAATGTGCAGTGTTTGCAGTTATTAAATTATGATATGAAAGAGAGACATGCTAACTTGCCAGAGGTGATATCGAAGGAGTTAAAAACAAAATCCCATTTGAGTTTAGACTAGACAGCTTATCTTGCCTAAATGGCAGACTTTAAAGCAATGCTGTGAATCATTCTGTTATGGAACTGGAGGACGTTGACGTTATTGCATGCATCTAGCCATGCCGTCAGATGTGTGGCACTCCTGTGCCCAGTCCAGTCCATCATTTGTCTCAGGCATGTCATCTGCCTATACAGAAGCAACTGGGATTCCCAAACCTTGGCCAGATCCTTCTGTTCCACTTCCATGGACATGGCTGCCTTCTTCCCGTTGTTTGGAGTCACCAAGCTTTGGAGAGATGCTGGATTTCTTCAAACATCTTGCCAAGCTGTACTGCTTTTTACTGCACAACATTTCAAGATCTTTCACCACTCTTTCTGTCCAAACACCCGCACACATCTGCTAAAGATATCTCTAATGTTTTCTGAATTGACTTTCATGGTATCACTGCTGAGTGAATACCTATTATTCACATTGTTAAAATGAGTGTGTCATCCCTGCCTTCAATATCTTGGATCTCACCTCTTCTTCAGTTGGATATGTGCAGTTTGGAAATTGCAAAAGCAATGTGGAGAAGAGAGCAATGGCATATTTGTGAGGCCCAAAAAGGACATGCGTGACTTGAAATTTCCCCCTTGTTTTTCTAGAAAATGGAATAGCAAACTGTGCAGACCTGTGCCATACATTTAATCCAGTTTTATATACAAGCGCACACATACATACTCACCAATATGATAGCAGGGCTGGTTTAGAGCAAGAGGCGACCCCCTTCTTTGTTGACCTTAGATTGGTGTGTCACTGTGTCTAAGACACTTACCAATACAGAAGCAACAAACATGTATGTTTATTGCTCATGGACACATTACAAATCATGACCTTGAGTTAGTATGAACACCCAGGCAATATAATCTGAATCCTTGAGGTGGTTTGAGTAAGCCCTATATCTCATGGTTAGAGAATTTCCATCTCCCTGTCACCACCGGACCAGAAAACCTCTGGTTATTTCTGGAATGAATTCTGTCTTTTCTGAAATGCTTCTGCTCCACCAGCTTTCTGGCCTGGATGCTTATTAGCATGGACTGGCATACTTTCTTAATACCATTCCTAATTCAGTCCTACTGCAAGAACTAGCATCCATCTGTCTACCAGAACATACTGCTTCTGACATCAAAATATCACTATTTAGCAGGGAAGCTCCATGAAATGGCTGGACTAGATTGCATTAGTAAGCTGATTCTCTTCCTTTATGATCAGTCAGGACTGTGGGTTTATTTTACACTGTGAAAGAGAATGCTAACACTAATTACTGTAGTTTAGAATGGTCACCCTTCTTACCTTGCCTATAGCTGGCCTCCAGTGGGAGGTGCATTCTCTCACTGTATTCTGAATGATACTATTCCAGCAAAGATGTATGCAAATGTATTCTTTTATTATGCCCTGTTTGTTTCATGTACATAGAAGGGACACTGCTAGTAGTTGATGCGCTATACCATGAACAGTAAATCAGGCCCTAAGGATATGGCTGGTGCTATTAGGCACTGTGATAGTGTTCTCTGAGTGGGTGTGAGCTTGTTTCAGGGTGCCCAGCATCATGTTTTTGTTGCATTCCACACTCATCGCATCCATTTTACCCCCAGAGTAAGTTAGTCTTAGGAATTTACAGTAGCCTAGTCATGAGCATCAGTCTCAGTCATGTCAATCCTTTTCTTCACTTCATCAGATATTGTTGTTCCAAGGTGATCTGATGTAAACCCTTCAGGTGTGAATTCCTGACCAAGGCACTGGAGCAACATTGCTTGCATTATAGGACTTGGGTGTTGTAGTGAGTGACACCAACTACTACTCCTGGCAGGCATCCCAGGAGCATCATGACTGGGATTCTGGAGGAGGAGGAGGAAGAAATC